TCTAGTCCAGCCTCCTGTCTCACACCGTGGCCAGCCAGTTCCTCTGGAGGGCCAACATTACAGGGCAGAGAGTCTGAAGTCTTCCCCTGATAAGAACATCAGAAGAGCCCTGTTGGGTCAGACCAGGGAGGGTCCATCAAGTCCAGCCTCCTGTCTCACACAGGGGCCAACCAGTTCCCCTGGAGGGCCAACAACAGGGCAGAGAGGCTGAGGCCTTCCCCTGATAAGAACATCAGAAGAGCCCTGCTGGGTTAGACCAGGGAGGGTCCGTCTAGTGCAGCCTCCTGTCTCACACAGGGGCCAGCCAGTTCCTCCGGAGGGCCAGCGACAGGGCAGAGGGGCTGAGGCCTTCCCCTGATAAGAACATCAGAAGAGCCCTGCTGGGTCAGACCAAAGAGGATGCCTCTAGTCCAGCCTCCAGTCTCACAAAGGGGCCAACCAGTTCCCCTGGAGGGCCAACAACAGGGCAGAGAGGCTGAGGCCTTCCCCTGATAAGAACATCAGAAGAGCCCTGCTGGGTCAGACCAAAGAGGATGCCTCTAGTCCAGCCTCCAGTCTCACAAAGGGGCCAACCAGTTCCCCTGGAGGGCCAACAACAGGGCAGAGAGGCTGAGGCCTTCCCCTGATAAGAACATCAGAAGAGCCCTGATGGACCAGACCAGGGAAGGTCCATCTAGTCCAGCCTCCCGTCTCACACAGGTGGCCTCTGGGCTCTGCCATTCAGAGGTTGAGTGCCGCTGAACATGGAGCTTCCCTTTCATCATCAGAGTCAGGAGCCACTGACAGGCCTCCATGCATCTGCCTAAGCACAGAGCCCACCTGCCATCCCCTGGGCCAGAGCACTCCCCCTCCACCCCCCTCAGCCATGGAGGCTGATGTCAATACGTGACTTCTCCATGCGAACTCTGGATAAGGCCTGTCACCAACTAGGGACAAACGGGGCAGGAGTTGCCCTCCCCTGTAAGAGGGAGCAGTGTTCCCTCTAAGCTGGGCGAGTGTGAGCCATCTCACAGTTTTTTTAGCCTCCGGCTCGCACCTTTTTGCCTCAGCTCAGGAAGGATGGAGCTCCAGAGCAAACTGATTCATGCAGCAGCCCAATCGCTCACTCACCACTTTAAGGCCAGTCGCTCGCAGAGTAGGATTTCTGCTCACAAGGCTCCGCAGCTTAGAGGGAGGCCTTGCCAGGGAGTGCTAAAGGTGCCTACTTCAGGGAGGGCAGGCTGTGAACCGGCAGCCTGGCACCCCCTCTGCTCAGCACCCCCGAACCCCCCCCCCGACACTCACACACAAGCTGGATCCCGCTGGCCCTGACCCCTCGCCTCCTGCTCCCTCCCTCCCCAGTGTCCCTCGCCCTTCGGCCCCCTTGTCCTCCTCCCCCAAAACGGGGCTTTCGGCTTCCTTCCTTCCAGACTCTCCCCTGCCTTCCCATCAGAACTGCGGTGCCCCAGACATGCTGGCTTGCCAGCCTCACCAGAGAAACCCAACCTTAGCAGTACTGCCCATCCCGCCCTGTCAGCCTGAGTCCATTTCAAGCTAAAGAAGAAGACAAAGAGATTGGATTTATACCCCGCCCTTCACTCGGAGTCTCAAAGCGCCTTACAAACTCCTTTCCCTTCTCCTCCCCACAACAGACACCCTGCGAGGTAGGTGGGGCTGAGAGAGCTCTCTTGAGAACAGAACAGCTCTGAGAGAACTTGTGACTGACCCAAGGTCACCCCAACAGCTGCATGGGGAGGAGTGGCAAATCAAACCCGGTTCTCCCAGATAAGAGTCCGCGCACTTAACCAGTAGACCAAACTGGCACCAGAGAACAGGAGTATCCCTGCTGCCGTGGCCAATCCACCACCACCCCGCCCCCCCGTGCATCCCCTCCTTGGGACTGAGGTGGGCACAATGTGCCCTTCAGTACCCAGCAGGCAGGATCGGCTGGCTCTCTCTCAGATGCCGAGTCCCCATGCACAAGGCAAAGCCCTCCTGCTGGAGCCAGGCAGGCCGCTGAGTCAGTGGGAGACCTCCCAGGAACACCTTCCCGCCCCCCGCATGTATGCCACATGGAGTTCCTTGATGGAAGAAGAAAGGTAGAATACCAACACGGTAAATAAATATTAACAAGGCGCTTCCTGGTGAGAATCATGAACTCGGGAAAAGTGGATGCGTCTCTGCGACTCCATCCCTCACCCAGAGGGGCTCTTCATATCCAAAGGAGCACAGCCCAGTAACTAGGGATGCCAGCTCCGGGTTGGGAAATCCCTGGAGGTTTGGGGGGTGGAGCCTGGGGAGGGCAGGGTTTGGGGAGGGACCTTAGCAGGTTATAGTAAAGGTCTCCCTTGCTTGGAAGCCAATCGAATCCGGCGCTCATCTCCGTTTCCAAGCCAAAGAGCCAGCGCTGTCCGAAGATGTCTCCGTGGTCACGTGGCCGGCGTGACTAGACACCGAGGCGCACGGAACGCGGTTCCCTTCCCACCAAAGCAGTACCTATTTATCTACTTGCAGTGTCTTGCTTTCACCCTCCAAGGCAGCTGTTTTCTCCAGGGGGACCGAGCTCTGTCATCTGGAGATCCGTTGTAATTCTGGGAGATTTCAAGTCTCCTCCTGGAGGGTGGCAGCCCTACCAATAACACATACACACGCACACACATCCCCGAGTCAGCAGCACCCTCTTACCGAGCCGTGTCAGCATCAAAGGACGACACAAGCGGGTTGAGGTGCCGGTAGCGGTTGATGAAGGCGTCCTTGTTGACCTCCCAGATCTCGCGGTACACGTCCCAGGTCTTCAGGTACGTCTGGAGGTGGGTCGCGTTGCTCTGCATGCCGCCGCTGATCTGCGCCTGGATCTTCTTGATGTCATCGTCCCGCTCTGGAGGGGGAGAAGGCAAGCGGTGGCTGTCCCTGCTGGCTGGCCTGCCTCCTGGAGCTGGGCCTCTGGTCTGCTATGAGAGGCTGGATGCCGCTACAAAGGCCAATGCGTGGGAGGGGGGTGGGGGGGAAGAGCCTGGAATCAGTCACGGCTAGAGCATCGGACTGGGATCAGGGAGACACGGGTTCGAATCCCACGCTGCCAGGGAAACTTGCTGGGTGACCTTGGGGCAGTCACATGCACTTGGCCTAAACTACCTCGCAGGGCTGTTCCTGCAAGGATACAACGGAGGAGAGGAGAGCAACGGAAGCCGCTTTGGGTCCCCACGGGGCAGGAAAGCAGGGTATAAATGAAGTGAATAATTAAACAAACAAGGAAGACACCAAGAAAAGGGAAGACGAGCAAGAACCCTTTTCCCTTTAAAAAAGGAAAAGTGAAATGCAAGGGGGTGTGGAAAAAACAGCCCACCAAATGAAGTTCTCTCCCTGTCAAGCCCCTGCGTCAGGTCCCGAATGCTTGATGCCCCACACTGCCTCCAGCCTCTTTCTTGTTATGCACCCCACAGGCCAGCCTCGTGCCGGACCCCCAACCCCCACCGCGCAGGCCAGATGTCACCTGGTCCAAGCTTTAGCCCGGCCGTCTGTGGACAAGCTGCCCAAGAGAGCTGGTGCTGCCCTTTTGGACGCCTCATCCTCCCTGGGGGGCCGACAGGACACCCAAGGGGCAGGCCACTGTGTCCGACAAGAGTGTGGAGATGTTTTCCCTTGGATTCCGTCCGTGACGCAACATGTGAGGCTCTTCAAAGAACTCCGAACGCGCCCCCCCCAATCTCCCCCAGGGAAAACAGAGTCCACCGAGCAGGATGGAAAAGCCACGAAGGGCCAGCCGGTTCCGCAGAGTCTGGGTGATGCGCCCACCCCAGGTTGGGGCCCCAGGGGAGGCGAAACTGAGGCTTCCTGTGGCGCTTCCAAGACAGGCAGAGCCAGCTCCGTGAATCATGCCGCAACACAAACAAAAACTGATGCGCCAGCGTCTGTGAAGCCATGGGGAGCGGAAGCAGCAGCAGAACGGCGGAGGGAGCCTGCCTGGGCCGCAGCCCAGGGAAGAGCTGGAAACAGAAGCAGGCCGCAACCCGACCGCCGACGGCTCTGGCAGAGCTCAGGGCCCGGCCTGCTTCTCTGCCTCCTCCCGGCCATCCCTTCCTCCCCGATTCCCACCTTTCGTGCCAGAGCTGCCCTCGGCAGAGGAGGGGTCTTCACTCAGGTGCTTCTCCCACTCGGAACAAACACGCTGGTGGTTGCCCAGTGCCCGGCCCCCCACGACCGCACCTCACAACATCTCGCGTCATTTAAAGGGGGTGGCCCAGGCTGGCCCGACGGCGTCAGATATGGGGAGCTAAGCTGGGTCAGCCCCGGTTAGTACACGGGCGGGAGAAGCCCAGGGTCACAACGCAGAGGCAGGCAAGGGCCAAACGCCTCTGAACGTCTCTGGCCTTGCGAGAGATGATCACCATTAGGTTAGCTGCAACTTGGCAGCACTTTTTGGAGGCCCCCAAGAGGGGAGAGAAACGACAGGAAGGCTGAACCCCCACCCACCCACCCCCAGC